TTCTTATGATGTAACTTTGTGAGAAGTTGATTGTAAACTGATCTTCTTGATTTGTAAGACGGATCAACCTTTGTACTTCATACAAATACTAGTGGAACTTTACAACTGGGCGAGGCCCCATGGTTTTTTCCCTTTTTGGGTTTTCCACGTAAAAACTCTGGTGTTCATTTCTCTTTTCTGTTTGTGCGGAATACTTGTGCAATGCTAGGATGCAAATTTACAAACTCTACCGCCGCGTATATATATTCTAGCACGCAACAAGTATGAATACCCTAAATTTTTAAGCAATTTGGTTGACTGCAATTACTTAACAATCTAAATAAAATGCCTATATTTATTTTGTTCTTTGAAAATTATTTTTCTTTCTCATTTCATCCTTGCCTTAGGTTTTCATTGTAAAATAAGATGCTCTTATCCTCACCCTTACCTTACCTTGATCCAACTTGTTATATCTCCAATCTATTGGTAATTATTTATAACTTACTATTCTATCATTAACACCTCGCCTATGTTGAAATAAATAAAGAGTTATAGCTGGTTTTGCTTACAACACTTCTTTCAATCTTTAAGCTTCTTTATGAGTATTACATCGCTATAGTTTTACTTTTTTCATCTTTTATAAACACATTACTCTTCCTTATTAACTTTTCATACATCCTAACTCCACAACCATTTACGAGCACATCTAACTCTCATAGATATGATTTCATCTCCCACTCCACTTATCAATTTGCCTCGGACCTTCTTAGCTCCTCCCTTGTAGCTTTTCCACTCAACTCTATTCTAACTAACACCAACATCAATTGTTCCTTGTGCGAATGACTTTTCCTTCTTGGATGTTTTTCAAGACTTCATTGTTCTCGTCCCTGATCCTACTCGAGCATCTGGTAGTGCTCTCCCTCTATCTTTCAGACATAGTCATTTCATACCTATCTATTAATAACCAAGTTATCGCAATCTTCCTTAGATATATATGGTTATTAATTCAAACTCATAGTTTCTTCATGTCATCTTTGCTAGTAGCAAGTAAAGAACATTTTGGCTCAACTAACCCTTTTCTTCAAACTGTTAACATAAGCTTTCATTGCTTTCTTATGTTAGTATTAGAACTTACTGATCATCATTTAGATGTAAAGCTATGAATTTCCTTTCTAGTGAATATATGTATGCCTTGTTTACGTTTATTAGGAAACTCCTTATGATAAACTTAAATTTATTTGATCTTAAAAACTTTTATTACTTTATTTCCTTTGGAAATATTTGTAAAATTTTAATGATTCTTTCTCTCTTGTATATATCTTGTCACATTAATTTTTCATTCTTATTGGTCTTAAATGAAAAATATTTTGATGGTTTCAAATCTGAGATAAATTCATGACCATTAATAGCTTCGGGTACATCCGCAAATAAGTTAATTTACAAGCCCTTGAATATAATTTCCCAAGCTAATTTACATTGCGTGGATTGCACGCGCTCTCTTATAAATTTGACCCTCTCGCTCTCTGAATCCCGCTCTCCGCCGCCGCAGAAGTCGCAGAGGAGATGCAGTCATTGCAGGAGAAAGCGTCGGTGTGGAGCGGCGTGGCGGCGAGCGACGCCTTTGCGATCGATGAAACCAATGTCTTCAATGCTCTTGGCGGCGACATTAAGCCCTTTGTCGACTTGTCCACTAATTTCTACAATAGGTACCTCGGCTCTCTTTCTTGTTCTTTTTGTTTCTCCGTTGTGCTGATCTGAGCGTTGGGATAGGGTTTATGATGACGAAGAGGAGTGGTTCCGATCGATCTTCGCAGGGTCGAGGAAGGAGGATGCGATTCGGAATCAGTATGAGTTCTTTGTGCAGAGAATGGGAGGCCCTCCTCTTTACTCCCAAAGAAAAGGTAATCCGATCGCAGGCTCTGTTTGGTATATATATTAACTAAACAAAAGCAGTTCTAACATATCTCAAAATAGCTGCGAGTAAAAGTCAAGTTTTATGAAACATGAAAAACAATCTATTTTGAACGATAATTTTGGTTGTTTAAAGCATTTTGATGAATTTGTTTTTTTTTTAAATCAAATTAAGTAATTGATTCATTTACAGATTAAAATTAGGATATTGTATCAACGGTATGAAAATCAAGATAATATTTATTTTGTTTATTTCATAAACTCATGCCTGTTAGCACATCACGATGGATGCCATCTCATCACGAGGACAACCATTCTATTACAGGACTTGCTCCCTCCGTCCGTCCTTGCAGCCGTCCACAACAGCTCAGCATAACAAACTATCCTTACCTCTCTTTATATATACATATACATCAATGTATTGCGGTGATGATCAATACAATAGAAACAGTAAAGGAAACTTTCCTATATCTCTTCTTCTTCCCTGTATTTCTCTCTTATTCTCTATTTTGCTCATGTCTATCATGGTATCAGACCAGTAGCTCTACAACAACTCTTCAAGCGTTCATGGTAGATCAAGAATCAACAGCCTCCCTTCCTCCCCATTCCAATATATCAGCTTCTCTGGCCGAATTCACTGTTCCACCTCCTCTCAAGTTCCTTATTTCTAATCTTAAACACATTGTTCCTACATGGCTCACTAATGACAATTATGCGATCTGGAGACTTCAGATTTATCAGCACTTCTCAGCCAATGGCTTTGAAGCTTACCTCCACCGAAACCCAATCCCCTCCGCCGGAATCATCCCCTGCTGACCTTCGCTTATGGCACCTCATTGATTGCAATCTGATATCCGCCCTCTTTTCCACCATATCACCATCTGTGCTACCCTACGTGCTCACTCTCTCCTCCGCCCATGAAGTTTGGATCACCCTCGAACGAAGACTACAACCCTCAAATCGCTCTTGCGTTATTCAGCTCAAAAATAAGCTTTATCATATCCAGATGTGTGATCGCTCTATGACACAATATCTTACCCAAATTAAGTCTCTCGTAGACAATATCGTGGCGGCTAGCTTCCACATCGACTCCGAGGACATTATTCTTTACATCCTTAATGGCCTCCCCTCCACTTACAATACCTTAAAAACTACCATTCACACATCCCTTAATCCCATTAGCCTGGATACATTTACTCTCTTCTATGCAGCGAGGAGATTAACCTTCAAAATGAACAGCTCAAAGACACTGCTTCGTCGTTGGATACCACAGCTTTATTCTCTAATCGCACAGGCTCTAGGCATGGTCGATTTCCTAGCACCAATACCTCTCATCCTTTCTGGGGTCGCGGTTCATCCACACGTCCACCCTTCTCTTCTAACCGTCCGCCCTCACCTTTAATAGTCATGACAACGTGCCTCATTTGCCAAATCTGTGGCAAATTCGGTCACTCCGCACTTAACTGTTGGCACCAATGCAATCTACAGTTTGCCCCAACCTCTTCATGGAACCCACGTGCTCTAATTTCCCAACAAAATCCAGCTCTCATGACTGAATGGGTATTAGACTTCGGTGCCTCCACTCATCTCACACCGGATGCCTCAAATCTCCTAAAACCGGCCCTCTACAGTGGTACTGATTCCATTTCAATTGCCAACGGCAGCTCGTTACCCATCCAACATAGTGGCTAGGGACTTCTTCTACTATCTGATTACTCTTGTAAGCTTCGCCTTCGCAATCTATGACTGTCCTGTTTATATCACATAATCTACTATTTATCTCTAAATTAACATCTGACAGTAATGTCTCCATTTATTTTGATGCTCATGGCTTTGTAATTAAGGATCTTCAGGACAATCAAACTCTTCTACATGGCCTCAACCGTGATGGTCTCTATCAAGTTTGCACCTCCTCAACCACTTCTACAACAACCCTCCATGCCACTGCTAGCTCCAACTCACTTTGGCACGTGCGCTTTGGTCATCCGCATCATCATCTTCTCTCGACACTAGTTTCATTTATACAATCTTTATGTACTTCTCCCTCTTTTCACCTATGTATCTCATGTAATATAGCCAAAAGCTACAAACTTTCTTTTAATACAAGTACTTCTTTCTCTACCAAAGCCTTCTAACTAATTCACTTGGATGTTTGGGGTCCTGTTTCATTGCCATCTCTAAATGGTTACAAATATTATGTCATCTTCATAGATGATTACACCACATATTGTTGATTATATCTCATGAATTCGAAGCAAGAAACATTTACCAAATTTAAACAATTCCACAGTCTAATTCAAACAACCTTTAACTCTCTTATTACCGTCCTTCGATCTGATGGCGGTGAGGAGTTTACAAGTAATCTCTTCACAACATACCTACTCAACCAAGGAATTACACACCTATTCAACTGTCCCTATACACCCAAGCAGAATGGGGTATCCAAACGCAAAAAACCGTCACCTTCTTGACCTCACAAGAACCCTTCTTCATGCGGCTCATCTACCTCTCGAATTTTGGGCTGAAGCTATATCAACTACCAACTATCTTATAATTCACTGCCCACAAAAGCTCTCTTCTTACAAATTCCTTACCACAAACTTCACGGACATCCTCCATCCTATACTGATCTACGCATCTTCGACTATCTCTGCTTTCTATAGCTGCAATCTCACACACCCAATAAACTCTCTCCACGCTCTCTTGAATGCATCTTCTTGGGCTATTCATCTTCTCACAAAGGATACCACTGCCTTCATATTCCTACTAACAAAATTTACATCTCATGTCATGTCATATTCCATGAGCAAACATTTGCGTTCTCCTCCTCCAACACCGTGTCCACAATTTCACCCACCACTAATCACTCACCATTACTTCTTGTCCCATCCTCTGTTCTGCCATCTACTACCTTGCCAGAACCTGTTACTTCAACCTGTCCACATATCTCACCGACCACAATACAACCTTCCAAAGTCAGCCACTTTGCCTTATCACCAACTCAATCTCCTTCACAACTGAGCAATTCAATCACAAAACCACCAACTATTCCTCCCTTACTTCCACCCAACCATCCTATGCAAACCAGATTAAAATTTGGTCTCTCCAAACCAAAGAAAATTTTGATCTTTCTGTCATCCCTTCATCCACTTCCACTCCCAGTAATTACATTCAATCACTTCGTCTTCCACAATGGTGGGATGCCATGACTACTGAGTTCCTCGCTCTTCAACAGCAAGGCACTTGGTCTCTTACTCCACCACCTGACAAACCCATACTTGGATGCCGCTGGACATTCAAAACTAAACTTCAACCAAATGGCCAAGTTGATCACTACAAAGCTCGCCTTGTGGCTCAAGGCTTCACCCAGTAATTTTGGATCAATTACACCGAAACATTCAGCCCTATTGCAAAGATGCCTACAATCCGAATTCTCTTAACCTTAGCACTTCATTGCAGCTGGTCCGTTCTTCAAATGGATTTCTCCAATGCATTCTTACATGGTGATCTTCTGGATGAAATCTATATGATGCAACCACCCGGATTTATTGACACTCAACAACCCAATCATGTTTGTAAGCTGCACAAGTCCATCTACGGCTTCAAGCAAGCTCCCGGCAGTGGTTCCATAAATTTACCACATTTCTTCTTCAATTCGGCTTCACCTTCAACAAGGCAGACCCGCATTACTGATTTACTCCAACTCACACATTTTGCTATATCGTTTGATATACGTTGATGACATTCTTCTTACAGAAAATTGCTCTTCCACCATTTAGCATCTCTTGTCACAACTCCAAACCGCATTCTCCATCAAACAACTTGGTGAAGTTTCTCTCTTCCTTGGCATTCAGACAATCAAGACAAAATCAAGCTTCTTCCTTCATCAACAACATTATGCTTGTGAACTTCTCACAGTAGTCGGCTTTGCAACTTGCAAACCTTCCATAACTCCGATGTCAAATCAACACATGGACCAGCCGCCGATCAACCTTACAGTGACCCGCATCTCTACCGCGAACTAGCCGACTCTATCTAGCACTTGATCATTACAAGGCCGGACATAGCCTTTGCGACGACCCGCGACGCAGTGACTATCAATCTCTTAAATGGCTTCTACGATATGTTTAGGTACAACTCACTATGGCCTTCCTCTTATAGCCAGTAAACTCCAACTTTGCTCGTAGGCTGATGCCGACTAGGCTGCAGACTCAACAGATCGGAAGTCTATTTCAGGTTTTGTATGTTTCTTGGCAATAATCTAATATCCTGGAGTGTCAAAAAGCAAGTAACAGTGGACAAATCATCAACCGAAGTTGAGTACTGATCACTCGCCTCAACAATATCAGATGTCTTATGGCTTTGTCGCCTTGTAGCTGAATTTCACCTCCTATAATCCTCGCCGACCACTATCTTTTGTGACCACCTCCGCCATTGCTCTCGCCAACAATCTGATCTTTCATGCGAGGACTAATCATATTAAAATAGACTTTCATTTCATAAGCGAGCACATCAGAAACAAGACAATCACAATTTCTCACATTCACTCCGCCGATCAGCTTGCTAATCTGCTTACAAAACCCTTACCTCCAGCTCTCTTTCATGATGTACGATTCAAATTAACCATCCACTCTATGGATGCTTAATTTGTGGGGGGCTGTTAGCACATCACGATGGATGCCAGCTCATCACGAGGACCACCATTCTATTACGAATTTGCTCCCTCCGTCCGTCCTTGCAGCCATCCACAACAGCTCAGCATAACAAACTGTCCTTACCTCTCTTTATATATACATATACATCAATGTATTGCGGTGATGATCAATACAATAAAAACAGTAAAGAAAACTTTCCTATATCTCTTCTTCTTCCCTGTATTTCTCTGTTCTTCTCTGTTTTGCTCAGGTTCTATCAATGCCATTATCACAATGATTTTTGTTTTTGGATGAACAACACTTTAGACAACTTTTAATATGATTTTACCAAACAT